ATATTTACGGTGGACTCATAGGCGATCTAGGAACGCATGTCATTGGTATGCATTGGCGCAGGCTATCGCTGAAGCCCAAAATATGCTCCGTGCCAGTAGTTTATCGGCCTCCAAATTAACTCCGGAAAAGAACTACGGAGTAAAATCGCCTTTGCGCATCGTGTTGTATCTGAGGTAAAACAATATCCACAGTAAGGGGAAATTACAAAATTCAGTTTTCAGTTAAAGCTAATCTCTCATACAATTTTGCGTGATCACGCCCAACTATGTTAAAGTTCAGAACGGCGAATATGCCGTCGATGTTAGACTAAGTACCTTTTTCAGAACAATTTTATCTGTTTTGCGTAAGTGGCTATGTATGATGGTGCGGTAAGCTAGAGTGGGTTGCGCTAGGAATTTCGAATGATTCAATAAATGTTTTGAATAATAAAATTCGCCTAATGATGCAGCGCGTTAGATGCTTCGCATTCTTTGCCCTATTTAGTATGTATTTAGAGTAGCTGCAGCCAGTAGAATCCTAGATTCCTAGGGCTCAAATGGAATACGCAGATGGAATGGGGTATCATTGATGTGATGGATCCTCCTAGTGTAGCAGAGTAGCTGAAATTTATCTGCAGAAGACCTCACTGATCTGTTTTCGTTCTACTTTGTTAGGGATGATAGATCTAAGCGCATATTATTAATTCATTATTATTATAGGTCCAGGTAGCCAAGTAGAAGTGACTGAGCCCAGTAATATAAATGCGCGCAATCACAATTATACTTCTTTTAGATGAGGAAAAGCAATTGGCCCAAAACACTGCCTTTAACGATACTACCAGTGACATTCCTGGAAATATAGAACCCATTTGCTCCATCTACATTCTTCATGCTCTGTCTTTCAGATATGAGTCGAAGCAGTTCAGTAGAGGGACCTTGCGCCCATAGAACGTAAACACGGCCAATAATGATTTGAGCGGTTAAAAGTTAAAAGTCTTTTACCTATCCAGAAAGATGACGCTGATGGCCGTGTCACCATCAAATGTTGCTTTAACATGACCCATTAATTGTAATTGGTATCTGACGCAAGAAAGCTCCGTAGTGAACGTAGGTTGAGTACTGCTGATTAGCTTTTGTTTTGTTAGGATATGAGTGACCCAAATCCTGACAATTATTTCTAAGGTCTTAGCGGCAGCGGAAATTGTTTTATCTACTGATCCGACCTCGTGGATAGTCTTTTGTCTCGGCAAAAGTATAGATATTTTTCCACTGTGATGGGAAGTAACTACTGTTTATTGACAGTTTCAAAATATTCCACAAGATGAGGTGTAGGTTTCCGTCACCTAATCTTATATATGCAGGGGAATAACATCAGGTCCTGGTTGGAATGTAGGTTTGATAGTGTATAGTAGCATCAGCCATCTAGATTATTCTATGTACTATGCTGCCATCAACTTTTTTGTGAACACCGATATTTAGTGGACATTGGTACCTGACACCAGGCTTTTATTTTGCACCATCTTGGGGCTAGTTGCATAGAGATTTGCGTTTACAGTAAAATCATCAAAATGATGGGTTAAACTCGACCAACTGCATAGAGTAACTGATTAAACTGAGATTACTTGGGACTGTGAAGCTTCCATCACGAATCAAAAGCCAGTCGTGTGCTGTATTGCACAGGACAGCAAACAAGTTTTGGGGGAAAATATTTGCGCAAAGCGTGTACGTTTTCTTAACAGTGCAGCGAATATTTCTCAAATAAATATTAATGTTCTTGTCTTTCAACGGAGACCATGTATCCAAGGATATCGGACATCAACTCCGGTTCGCCCTTATGCGCAACTACGCGACCGCCCGGTTGTAACTCACGCGTAACGCGAAATCTTGTTCTTCATGACCGTCAGAGTAACTCATCAGTCACTTCGGCCTCTTATTTCGTTTATCGGTACACCTGCGGTTGCGGTGACATGTATATAGACAGGACCGACCGTCAGATAGCTCAAAGAGTAGCTGGACGTGTGCCGTGGTGGTTAGAACGCCTGGTGAACCAACAAAACGGAGTTGATCCGAGGATGAACCGGTGCCCAGCATCATCTATCACTAAGCATTTCTTGACAACTAGATATCACGTGAACCTAGAGACTGGGTTCATGATGTTATTTTGAAACAATTATCTGATAATTTTGCCAATTAGAGTGACTTTGTTAATTAGGACTGATCAACCTGTGTTTGTGCACAGAAACTATTGAGACAATCAATTAGGTTACCATGGTCATGATTTTGGCACTTTGATTGGTGTGTCAATTTTTCCCTGTATATAAAGGTCTGTGAATTCCGCTTGTGTTGTGATTGCGACTGGTGTGCACAATCGAAATGTTGACATATCGCAACTTAAGTCTTCTCGCTGCTCTGACGAAATGGCTGAAGGAAACCCACTGTTTTACCTTTCAAGATAAATATAAGTTAGTTGCAGTTATTCCCCTAATCTATGTTGATTTTCCTCCCGTTCTCAGCGTATATGTTGCACGTGCAGGCCAACTCGAATCCCAAGGAAACGGTACATGATTTGGTGAGTTCTTCCGGGAAGGATGACCAAAGAGCAGCCAAGAACAGGTGTTTTCTCCCAGAAACTGTAGCACGCAGTTTCCACATAGTTTAAAATCGCTGGAATTCCTTTTGCTCTAAGCAACAATGCAGCCATCAACTGACAGCCTATATTTAACACGATCGTTTATTCTGCTTTAAAACTAAACTATTGACCAAGTGATCCTTTTACGTACTCTCACAACTGCGCGTCCGAGTGATAACCTGCATGCAAACCTCAGAGTTTTGCTAAGAAATATATTCACATTGGCACACAACCGTATGACTAAGGTTAATAGCAACAACCGTCTACCAATTTCGCGTTTATTTTTGCAGCTTCGCCGTGGAACAAGTGAAGATATTTTGTTGAAACCTGTACACTGTGAAGCTTGGAATAACACAGGCGGATTCTTTTGTACAGTTGGATACGACAACAGGGCCAACGTTTCTTGGGACTATCCGGAGTTGTGGATCGCTCCTGTGCGACATCTGCAAAACATTGCATACAATAATTCGGCCATATCGATTCAGTTCACTGATATTTTCTGGTCAAAAGCAATCGGTAAGCATGCAGCATAGTTTGTCTATTAAAAATCACGATACTGAGATTTATCTTAATATATCATAATCATATTCATTTTTGTGTGATTTGAGCATGTGCACTGTTAGTCTGTACCAGTGTGAGCGGTTATTGACGCTAACACCTCATTAGTGTAGTCCGGATTGTAAGACTAGATGTTGCGACTATCCAAATTCTGGACAACAATTTTTACATAACGGTGAACGTAGCTCAAATTATCAACAGTTTGTGCCAGCCGCTCCAAGAATACATCCGGAATGTATGGAGTCATATCGTTAGGCTTCAACTTCTCTTTGCCTCCTAAGTTCAACGATATTCACCAACTTCATCATAGTCTATTTTGCGTGGTAGCAATAGAAAAACACATAGTTATACCTATTCCCAGTGGGTCGGTGTGAGTAGTTTGGTTGAATAGGAGTTTAGTATGTATGTTCGGATGATATGATAGAATTCACTTCTATGAGGCGCTGTCATCATCGGATTAGTTGGAGTTGGGATTAGCATCAACTTGCATACTGCTTTCAACGTTCTGATGTGTCGTGCTCACAATTGCCAGACAGCTGCCTCAGTCAATTTTGATAGTAACCGGTCATCTGTGTGCCATTTACCGATACGATGTCAACAATAAAGGGGTCAAGTGGGAGCCGGCAACACGAAATAACTAAGACCACTTGAGCCAGATGTACAAGATGGTATCGATGAACGACAGGCAGAAATAATACAGTTTGACTAGGAGAATTGCGATCGAAAACTAGGTGCTCACCAAGGCACAAAGACTACAGACGGCGTACGTTGCGGCGTCCGATTTACATGGTAAACTAGATCGAGGAGTAAATTGTGAACGGAAAATGGATCACACAATTTGACTGTGAAGGTCATGAATGAGCCAATTTCAGTCGCTTTGTAATCAGAGCATGAATGAGATGGAATCAACAAGCAGATGGAAAGCGCTCGCATTGCCCAATTAGTCAGCACTATGTGTGTGGTGTGTGTGCAGACATCCCCATCGATCAATATGTCCACACTGCTTAACGGCTGTTTTGAGGTGCGCGCTTAGGTGCCTGACTATCACTCAACGAACCCATAAATGAACCAGCGTTAGCTTTTGGGAACACCGGATTTCCCCAGAAATGTTGCTCATACAGTTCAGAGCGGACTTGACTGGCTGATATCGACTGAATAGTGCAAAACGTCGGCACCAAATTAAGCTTTTGTATGAAACACACATGGCGACTTTGGCATATTTGGTCCGTACAGCCAGATTCGTTTTCTTGGTTCCGTAGGAGCATATACATTTGTATGCGAACGTAGGGTTCTTTCTGATTCGGAAGTACATTTCCTGCTGGTTGCTAGTCTTCTTCACGGGTCATTACAAGCAAGAGTCTTGCCGGCACAACTGAGCTAATTGACTGACGAGTTTTACAATCTTTAGCCGGAGTTCATTTTGTATGCCAGCGAATGTGAGCTGCCATCCATATTCGGCTACTAGCCATCTACTGCATTTTACTCACGGCTTTAGTCCCACTCGTTTTAAAATAATTAAATAAATAAATCTATTATTTCGTGATAATGCGAGAGACTATTCCCACATAGGGAAAGATCAAAAGGTAACAGTTGAAAGGGGTATGTGCATGACTGTGAGGAACGAGCAGTGAGAAGCTGTCAGATTTGAATGAGCTCATAAAATTTCGTATAGTATACATGCTTCCAAGCTTTAGGATTGGCGGATGTAGACGGTTATCCAGACTTCGCTTTGACTATTTGGAGCCTACCCGACACCCTAGGGGTAGAGATTGCCTTTATAACAGACCAGACCATTACAGACCAGATGCTGGTACCTGCCGCTGTTAATGGCATTTTATATCTTTTCTTCTGCATACAACAGTTGGAGCTGATCAATATCTCTGTGAGTTTGCACCGCATACCATTTCGCTTAGTATGTTTATTATATTATTGGAACTGGAAAATATCTCGTTCTTATTTCTACTACCTTAGGTCACGTAAAATATTGTGGCTTCTAGATGCATAATAATAATTGCAGTATAAAAGTTCTCAATAGTTTTGAGCGAAAATAAACGATATATATATATATATATGGCGAGATTCTGTGTTTACAAGGTAGTCCGTTCTGGTTAACGTCCTCCTCTAATTCAGATTTTTCTCCTGTTTTCGCAGATGTGGACACAGCCCTTTTAACCCACCGAAATGAGACGGATATTTGCAGAAGTTTTCTAAACCATGTAAGTAGACTGCTGCAGAGATTACTGAGAAATAGGAAACAGTAAACATATTCCGCCACACCGATTAAAATAAACGGCGGTAGCAAATACAGAAGCATAATTTGTTAGGCTATTTGCTTATTTGTGTTACTGTCATCGGGCATGCAATCAGCATTTGCAAAACCACCCCTAAAGTTGAAACTCCACTGATTGCTTCAAGAGGACAGTGTTAGTTACGGAGAATCTCCGATTGCATTCAAGAATTCTTAAGAGGTACTTCCATTATGATTATACAAACGTTTGTCTCGTAACTTTAAATCAGCTGCACCTGAAATTTATTGGTGCGAATTGGAAGTCTGAGTTCGAAAGTGCAGAGAATACGTACCATGTAGGAAGCGAACGGGTTATGAAACACGGCAACAACAACAAAGTAGGGTGCATACAAGCGAAAAAGTTGCTCCGAAGTGCAGGAGACATTCTCAGCAAGGATCTTTAGCAGGGAGGTGATATAGTTGGGTATGATGTACTTATCTATCAGGAGAGTTTGGGGTTTGAGTTAGTTATACAAGAAAGGTATCCAATTCAATTTAATGACTGTTCAATTTACCAGGATCTGTAAAGTCATACGAAACTGACGCTAAAGTACATGATTTTAAATTCACTCTCTCTCTGACTGATTTTTATTGGGATACACTACTCGCCTTCTAAAAGAGGTACTGTCTCCAGTGCTAATGCACGACAGTAACACATCATTGATGAATATTTCGACAAGGTGTTTGGTTTTCTGATTCAGTTGGTGACACTGTGCAGTCTTGGGGTGCGGAAATTGAACTAGGTGTTGCCGATGTTAGGTTCTGTGTTGTTGGATGGTCGGAATTTTAACGCTCGTGTTCATTACGACTTGGTGTACATAAGTCAAGTCAGGCAAGTTTAAAAAGGCATTATGAACCCAAGTGGGAACATTTTCAGCATTTTACCTTAGCACTGCGAATGTAGTATGGCATAACCTAGACATGAAATTGAAAGAAAAACGCAAAAGGAAGCAAACATGCACGCACCTAACTCAAGTAAGCGTTCAAGCATGATACAGTTAAGTTCCTTGGTGTCCAGAAGAACAGGGGATAAATAGGGTAAGCTATATTTGTAATGACATGTTTTGCGACAAAACAAAACCCCAAATTTATAGCGGATATAGAAGCAGGGTATGGCTTTGGAAACATCAGGGTGAAGGAGTTGAAAACGGTCCTTTAAAACATTTGCTCAAATGCTTCACATGCAGTAAGTGCTTAGTAACGACGAAGTAGACCAGAGACTGTCTGCACAATCCACTACACTTCAAAATGAGTTTAGTGGAACGCACAATCAATGTGAAGTTCTATCGTAAAAGACCAGGAAAAACGACAAGCAAGCAATATAATCACTTGGGAAGGATACAGGCAGTCACGAATTTGTAAATTATAGTGCAGAGGAATAAAAGTCTTTTAGGTCTGAGATCATAGATTGGTAATTTCCGCACCTTGCGGAACGTACATCGACGTGTGTTGACCAAGGCTGATTGTGAGAGATAAATATACACCAAGGGATTGAATTGGATGAGCTAGGTATAGTTTGCTCGCATGCGATCATAAGGGAGAGGAGTTTGTCACAGTCAGACGTTTGTTAGTGTGGAGAAGATAGAAAGTTACATCGCGGATTTTGGAAGTGTTGAGAGTAGGGGATCGGCCCGACGACCACTGCTAAAGTTCGTCCAGACCGATGTGCAGCGTCGTTGATGGTACAGCAGTTGAAGCAATACTACCTGACTATGTCGTCAACCTACTTACATCCAGTAACGTTTGACGGAATTGGAAGTCTTACGATGTATAGAAAAAGAAGGGAGGAGAGAATTGCTGCTTGTAAGGCGCCCCAGATATCAGTAAGAGGGTACGACATTATACCGTTTAGCTGGGTAAAATGAGATCCGTTTAGGAAGTAGTTTCTCATGAGGTTACACACTGCCTGTTCGACACCATTCTCTGACAGCCGATGAAGCAAGCTTGGTCCGTCGACAATGCCAACAGCGCTGACAAATGCTAGCAAGAGGCGTGGCAATACTTCCATTTTACATCCAATGAAGATGCTACAGATTCAAAAAGATGTACTACGGCATCCAACATGGAACGTCGGGGTCTGTATACAAATGAGGTGTATACATATCTGGGGTGATTGTTGAGCTCTGAGGCACTAGTAGTCGTTCGAAGACTTTCAATAACACGGAAGTACAGGTGATGTGACGGAATTTCGTGGATCCCTTCTTTGGCATGGGCATTATTCTAACAGGCCTTCAAACATGGAAAAAACTTCCACTGTGTAGGCGCCAAGTAAAACTATCCGTCAAGAGCATGGTGAGGGTATTGGCACACAATTTCAAGACAACTGCTGCATGAGCATAGATTTCACTAGCTTTCCATTAATTCAGATTTCTGATTTCATAGTTGACTTCAAAGTTTTGGCATGTAATTTTTAGACCAGAGCCAAAGAACATAGACAGAGATAATAAATCGGTTGTGGATGCTTACTGTGAAGAGGAACAGAACACAAAATCGAGTTTCTCTACATCCACAGGCCCACTCTGCTTATTGAAGCTTTTACCGCATAGCTGCTTTAAAAGTTTCCACAGGTTTCTACAGTTGTGGTTGGACAAACGGCATTGTTGAATAAGTTATTCAGTTGTGAAATCTCCGTTTTTATTGCTAGATTGAGTTGTGTGACACATGCAGTCATTGTGCATTTGAAGGCTCGTTCACTTTTTCTTCTAAGTTGTTTGCGTTAGAATGAGGAGGATCTGTCGACTCGTAAGTAGCTGTTTTCGACTGGGCAGCAAAGATCGAAGCCAAACAAGATAACCAGTGAAACAATCACACTGAATAGACAGGTCTTTGTTGTTGAAAACTGTAATATCAGTAGACGTCAGCATTTCCTGGAGTCGCACAATGCTGGTTGCTGAACGATCTCGTCGCCTCACAGTTTTGAATGACTTATTAGCCAAGGAACCGGAGTGAGTTTTACCATGGACGACGGAGCACCCTTTTATGATACAATGATGGGAATAACGGAGTTGGGCACGTGTTTGTGCGAAAGACAGCCAAGCAGGATATATGAAGACGAACTGTAGTTGCGCTTCCAGTCTGATCGGGAAGGTCACTAAGTTAGTTAAATCAACTGCCTATGTGAATGAGGTGTCAATTTCATTGAAGTCTCCGGCGATGACACAGACTGAGCGGTCAAGTTTAGGCAGTAAAGCCGAGGATAGATCATCTGCAACAGGTTTCCACTCTGATGCTTGTGTGTCGGGTGATACGTATAAATTCCTAATAATAACAAAATGAAACCAGTTAAAATTGTTGGCTTACATTCATGCAAATGGCGGCTGCTTGGACTGTTGCGTAGGTAAATGACGAGTTACACCAGCGTTGATTGACATAAGTAATGATAACCACTCCACACTTTTGAGTCATTCCGGGGCTGTCGGTTCTGATGAGACGATACACAGCAAGTTAAATAACCTCGCCTTCTACATCAGTAAGCAACCAACTTTCTTGAGGCTTCAAAATGGCTGCATTCGTGTATTTAATCTGGTTTATAACAGTGATAAGCTCCTCCACTTTTCTTAGGAGTGATCGAATATAGATGGATAAAATCAGTGGAATTTGTGTCTTGTCAATTGAGCGACGTCTAAGGCTTACTTGCAAGCCAGCACGGTATTTTCTTAATTTACAAGAAGGTTTCTACCTAACTCGCTTAAAAGTACTTCGTAATTTGTGTGCACATTGAATAATACGCGGATGGGAGGCAGTATCGTGGAGAGGTTTCAAACCTTTGACGGATTAGGTCAACATCAATTCATTGGATTGCAAAGAGCAGAAGGGAGACCCCTTGTGAAGTAATAGTTCAGCTAAACAAAATAGCAAAATTGTTTGTGAATCGGTTACATCCGCAGTAGCTAGAGTAACAAGAATCTCTAATGAGAAAAACAACGATCAATTTGAGGGTCCCGCCAGCTCGTCCACAAATGCGCCATAGGTTAACGTACAACTATCTGGCGCCAACTAATACCCGGTTGAATTTCCTTGGTGAATCACTCGGACGTAGTGGCTAGTGCAGTCATGCGAGATATTTTTGGTAGCGTCGTTGTCCGTCATAATTTCCGTTCTTGTGGTGTTACGCGTTGTTTATCGTCTCAGCTGCGCTTTGAGACACGGCTCAATGGCGTTCACTGGCAACTTGGATAAATTCCAACATAGGGCAAGCCACAACAGGCTCGGTGGATGGTTGTGGCCTAAGGGATAGACGAGTCTCATGACCAAGGGTTTGGTAAGCCGCAGACTAACCCGTGGTAGACCGCACCGAGACACCATAAGTCATCAAACTGCCGAGACGATTTGTCTTCTAGCCTAGGCCGATGATGTCCTGTGAATCTGTGCAAGTTAGACTTGTAGCCACGTTGTTTCGCACCATGAGTCCGTTATCTTGCTAATGGAAAGGCATAGTTGGCAACTTTTAATTACTAGCAAAATGGTTCCTGCATCTAATGGTTCACAAACGGCGCGCCTGAATCAGTGTGATGATATGCGCGCATATAACGCGAAACCCATTTACGAAAACGTAAGCGGTTGGGTGTTGACGCATGATAGGTCATACCTTACACTAACATATGCAAGAATCTGCAATTATAAATGCAAAACATTTCGAATTGTTTCCCATAGACAAAGTAACAAGGATGTTTGCTTCGACTTAATGGCTTGCTACTGATGCGACTATTGATAAGAAGGGGCACAAGCAGGGAGCGCAATCACTTCCAGGGCAGCACAGAGATCACATGACGCGTGATCTGACAACATGAGTACATACGCTTAGACATCAGTATCGCTGACACATAAAATACTTCGTTTTTAGTTTCGAGAAGTGACTCACCGTTGGCACTCCGAGAAAATTGGATATTTAATTTCTCATCTTCCAACCAAATTCGCACTGTCCAGTTAATTTTACGTGTTCTTCTAGACAGCGCGCTTGCATTTCAACATTAATAAGTTGCGAAAACACCTCAATCTGCCGTTTGTGCTTGCTATTTATGGACTGTGTATACCGGACATTCGTAAGCTCTTGTTTTCTTTCGGAGTTATTTTGCTGCATTTTACGGAGCATCAGTGGCATTATACTCATTCGTTTTGAAATGAAAAATATACCGTCGTGGTACCGTTCTGTCGAGAACACTACTAGTAGTGGAGTTACAAATTCCGGTTGGTATTTCACTGATACACGTAAGACATCTGGTGAATGCAACCGTCGTAGAACCTATTTGGTCTCACCCGAATAAACATTCCAATAGCGTTCGAATAAGCTCGCCCCCGCTCCTGTTTATTACTGTGTAGAACAGGTACAGAGTAATCTACATTTTCACTGTAACCGAGCCCCATTCAGCTTCTCAGAAAGTTCGCCTTAACATCTGAACAATAGACCAGGCGAAGAAAGCTGTTTAACACACCCTCATATGGTTGCAGGATGGACACAGCGGTACGCTGTCGACATGCCAGACAAACGATCACATAAAAGTGACGTGATCCGTGTGACCTACCCACAATGTGACAACACTTCGTGGAAGGGACTCGATTTGTTTACGTCTTTGCTTTTCCCTCGGAACAGTAAACGAATGTTTGTCAGCCCTGCTATCAATTTGACTAACAACGTTTGACATAATCTTGTTCTGATAGACCCTGCGTAAGGGACTTACATAGAATTGAAGATCACGATGGCAGCATTCCTAAGAAACCAGTAGTAGGTCCCAACAAATCAGCACATAGCTACATAATTCGTGAGTTTACTCACAATACAGTAATGGTACGCGCAGAGAGCGAATATTCCTTTTCTTTCATCTTTTCATGTTCCATAGATCACTGAGGTTGCCCTGAAGGTAAGTACAAAAACTAATTTCGTCTTCTTGTTGGGTGTTAGGGTTTGCAAGTTCGCTTAATAACGTGACGTCACACTTGCTATTGTGCTGTGCCCAGGACAGCTTCTAAGCACTTCGAAGTAAACCTGGCGTTAATCGAGAGTATAATGTTATTACTTAAAATTAGGCTTCCTTGTTACGATTGCTTCATTGTAGATGGAAACGAAATGTCGCGTGGAGCTCCGAGAGGAAGTTGTGACTAACCAACAGTTTCACATAACGAAGCTGAATCTGTTAGTACCGAAAAAGCTGGTCAATGAATCATCGATCGTGGCGACACAGATGCGGTTGGCTAACAAACTGAGGTGGCCTGATGTGAGCTGCCTTTCTCCGGTGCAATTACGAAGCCCAGATGCCTTCTATGGTATGTGCCGCTCTTTAAATATGTCCACTTCCAACATTACTGAATGTACATCACTACGACCGTAATGATATACCGCATAGTTGTGACGATTTATTTCCAGACGAGATCATCCAGATTGAAATGCTTGACGAACGCTGCGCGACTCACATGCTAAATGCCTGGGAAAAAAGCAAGGCATAAGCGGTCCAAAAGTGTTTTGAGCAGACACTCCAATAACACCCGTCAGCGGCTGCTCGCTAGCCCGGCTATTACGATGTAGCCCGAATAAACACAGAGTGGCATAGGTGATCCGGGGATTGGAAGATATCCATAAACCCCTGAAGCATCAGGAGGTGGCCAACATTGTTAAAATATACACTGTGTGAATTAATTTTGCTATTATAAACTAACCCCCAATGTTTCTGTGGATCATTAAGTAAAATAAACGGGCTCATGCGAAGGATAACTGGAACAATCTAACTTCATTGTATGTTGCAGTGCCGTCACACATGTTACCAAATGGAAAGCCCTTCAGTAAGTCCGGTTGTGCTGTAACAATGCAGATAAATGTGAATTCGTCACAACTCTCACAGCTAAAGTTACTTATCACAATGTCAGTTAAGTGAATCGCACTCCTATAGCACAATAAATGCTGCACTTGGTACGTGTCCACCACATGAATAGACATAATTTCAGCCGTTTCATTCCTTATCTAGCGTTTACCGTGACATATGCGCACTCAGAACCAGAAGGGCTAGGTGGACAATCGTCGAGTAAAGACGTGTGCGAGAAAGTAAGCGAACAAATTAAACAGTATGCAATTGCTGTTTTGGACGGTAAATTGCACACTTGCAGTGAGATCATTTTAACCTGAATGGATCATTCGTATGCATTCCAAATGAAAGCCAACTAGTAACATGTACTTTCCATTGCCTCCAGCTAAAATCGTATGGAATGGACTTGATTGAAAAATGCTACGGGCGTGTTGGATACACTAACTATTCGACCATCGAAGTTTTGATGAAGGCAACAAATGCTTCGGTGTGGGAGTTACAGTACAAACTTATGTATCGGTTGAACTTAGCGCGTCCCGATCAATGCACGTTCAATGTGATCAATACACCGATACGCAAAGTTTACAATGGATTTGGGCACTCATGATCCTAAAATTGCATGTATGTTACAAACTGGTTTGACCAGAACAAGCGCTGTGGAAATTTTTACCTACAAATTACCATGTTCACATTGTTGTTATACATGCATAACGTTTCTATCGAGTGCTTTTCTTATCAAAATCACTTACATCCATAAACGTTCACATATGAAAAACGAAACAGCGGAGTTCTTTTCCGACATTCTGACAAACATGTTAGTCAAATCGGGTCATCCATGGCTTCTTGCGGCAGCCCGCTAATTAAAAAACTTGCCCGCTTTAAATACATTGTAAATGAGCCCAAGAGAGATTTGTGAGCAGATTCTAAACACTTCCAAACAACAACCTATCGATATTGCTCAGAACCAAAAATATGTGTAGGTGACAACTCGAGTAATCGCATTATGAGACACTAGCTTGCTAAGTTCATTTCAAATTTCAAAAGAAAATTTAGCAGTTCGTTAGTTAAGTCTACAAGACGCGTTCTTCGTCAATCTGGTTGGATCCATAGATAACTTAGGTACACGAATTATTTCGCCTGGCACAACAGCATATAATTTGCCTTTACAAATTGGACAAAATTACGTATTAAAAAAGAATTCCAGTCAGAACCAGTGTTGCGATAATTAGATTGAATTATTATGCAGCAAAGCGCACTTATATTTTACGGGCGTCTTTTAGATTTAAGTGAATATCATGCAGTGATGTGGTTAAAAAATACACTATGCTGTTTCTTAATTCGACGAATTTATAACAACTAATCACTAAGGGTGTGGTGCAGCCCCCGTCGGTAGGGTTGAAGGGAAGAGCGCAGTTTTCCTTCACTTCCCAGAAGCGTAGCTTGCTTTCCCGCGATGAAGTAAGATGAACTCGAGGTGATGTGCTCATTGTGGGCCAGTTAGCGATTTCTAAGCTCTCATGAATTCAGCTTGTTCGGCTCATTTACAGTGAGCTGTCGCGACAGCCATTGTCGCCAAGACAGTTTGTTCCTCCTTCAATCTACCTTGGTTTGCTGTGACTGCCTGCTCCCCATCCACTTACCTGCCGGATAAACAACACGCTATGCGCTCTCTCAATCCTAAGAATGTGCGACACCATAACGCTTTGCGAGCACGTCTGACCCCGCTGAAGCAACGGTCGCAAAACGCTGATCTTGAAACAAGTAGCATACACTAGGTTTTGAATAGAGTGGCTCGAAATCAGTAACGGTGCGTCTTCCTTCGAGTCAGTCAGTCAGTCAGTTAGTCAGGATGGTTTGTGCCCCCATGAAGGGTAAAGTTCTACGTCTAACAGTCACGCAACGGACAGGGATAAAGAATGAAATAGGCTAACACATGAGGATAAATTTGAAACCATAATCATCGGAAGGGCTTAACAGAGCTAACGTCACCTAATTAATTTACTAACCAGTTCTTAATAACTTAGTTTATATGTCAATAAACTTGAAAATATAACAACTACCGATGTATCATAGGCCATTGTGCGGGTGCGGATGGTTTTGTTTCTTCGTTGCTTTGTAGCTGAATATTCACTCTACATCAGTACATAATGCGCAATGCTGACGACTTGTCGAAAAAGTTGCTGCGCATTCGTGCAGCACATTGTGGAGGTTTGGTTAACAGAAGTGATTATCTTAGATGCAAGCTTTTTACAGGTGTTAACATAGCAAGGCTTCGTGGTGTTAAGAAGTTTCTGCCTTGAAATGTCGCTACACCATGATAGATGTTTGTTGACCAAGCTATCACTCTGAGGTCTTTACTCGTGAGACCAGGAAAGATCACTGGAACGTGCAGTAGAATCGCACACATGGATTGATAAAACGCTGAATCAAAAACGGGGTACGGACAAAGACTTGCGACGTGTCCTCTAACTTTAGTGAATGATTCGTTCGCATGAAGAGACCAAATAAAACCACTAACAAATGTTACTTCCAGCTATTCTGTTGATGTGCACGAAGTCAAATCTTCACAATTGATAGAAGGTTGCCATCACTGCGTTAGTTTTTGATAGGAGCGAGTACCTTTGATTAGAGAAAGAAGGACATCCTGTAAATCTGTTGTGGTGTACATGCATGTACATGCATTTAGCTAACAATTCACGATAGTCAGATACCGTCCTCCATGGCGCAGTTGCATAAGCTGCGGGCTAGTTGACAAGAGGCACTAGCAGTCATGGGTTCGATCCTCCGCAGAGGACCGAAGGATGCGCACCACTGATGAGCCCCAATAGGGCGAAACGGCCGTCTGGTGCTTTTCCGGACAGCTGGTCGACATATCTGAATGGTCGGCTGATTGCGACGAACAAAAATACTCACCAAAATCCTTCCATTCATAAGTAATACCAATTCGCCCGTACGGATTCCACAAAATGCTATGTCGATTCATAGCTGCCGTAACCGGGAAGTCCTGACGCCGGAAGGCCGACCGCTGTCATCTGCATGGCAGGTGCCTGCATGGCAGTGGAGGATGCGTCGGGCTTTATCGCATTTAGCTAACAATTCACGATAGTCAGATTCCGTCCTCCATGGCGCAGTTGCATAAGCTGCGGGCTAGTTGGCAAGAGGCACTAGCAGTCATGGGTTCGATCCTCCGCAGAGGACCGAAGGATGCGCACCACTGATGAGCCCCGATAGGGCGAAACGGCCGTCTGGTGCTTTTCCGGACAGCTGGTCGACATATCTGAATTGTCGGCTGATTGCGACGAACAAAAATACTCATCAAAATCCTTCCATTCATAAGTAATACCAATTCGCCCGTACGGACTCCACAAAATGCTATGTCGATTCATAGCTGCCGTAACCGGGAAGCCCTGACGCCGGAAGGCCGACCGCTGTCATCTGCATGGCAGGTGCCTGCATGGCAGTGGAGGATGCGTCGGGCTATATCGCATTTAGCTAACAATTCACGATAGTCAGATACCGTCCTCCATGGCGCAGTTGCATAAGCTGCGGGCTAGTTGACAAGAGGCACTAGCAGTCATGGGTTCGATCCTCCGCAGAGGACCGAAGGATGCGCACCGCTGATGAGCCCCAATAGGGCGAAACGGCCGTCTGGTGCTTTTCCGGACAGCTGGTCGACATATCTGAATTGTCGGCTGATTGCGACGAACAAAAATACTCATCAAAATCCTTCCATTCATAAGTAATACCAATTCGCCCGTACGGATTCCACAAAATGCTATGTCGATTCATAGCTGCCGTAACCGGGAAGTCCTGACGCCGGAAGGCCGACCGCTGTCATCTGCATGGCAGGTGCCTGCATGGCAGTGGAGGATGCGTCGGGCTATATCGCATTTAGCTAACAATTCACGATAGTCAGATACCGTCCTCCATGGCGCAGTTGCATAAGCTGCGGGCTAGTTGACAAGAGGCACTAGCAGTCATGGGTTCGATCCTCCGCAGAGGACCGAAGGATGCGCACCACTGATGAGCCCCGATAGGGCGAAACGGCCGTCTGGTGCTTTTCCGGACAGCTGGTCGACATATCTGAATTGTCGGCTGATTGCGACGAACAAAAATACTCATCAAAATCCTTCCATTCATAAGTAATACCAATTCGCCCGTACGGATTCCACAAAATGCTATGTCGATTCATAGCTGCCGTAACCGGGAAGTCCTGACGCCGGAAGGCCGACCGCTGTCATCTGCATGGCAGGTGCCTGCATGACAGTGGAGGATGCGTCGGGCTATATCGCATTTAGCTAACAATTCACGATGGTCAGATACCGTCCTCCATGGCGCAGTTGCATAAGCTGCGGGCTAGTTGACAAGAGGCACTAGCAGTCATGGGTTCGATCCTCCGCAGAGGACCGAAGGATGCGCACCACTGATGAGCCCCAATAGGGCGAAACGGCCGTCTGGTGCTTTTCCGGACAGCTGGTCGACATATCTGAATTGTCGGCTGATTGCGACGAACAAAAATACTCATCAAAATCCTTCCATTCATAAGTAATACCAATTCGCCCGTACGGATTCCACAAAATGCTATGTCGATTCATAGCTGCCGTAACCGGGAAGTCCTGACGCCGGAAGGCCGACCGCTGTCATCTGCATGGCCGGTGCCTGCATGGCAGTGGAGGATGCGTCGGGCTATATCGCATTTAGCTAACAATTCACGATAGTCAGATACCGTCCTCCATGGCGCAGTTGCATAAGCTGCGGGCTAGTTGACAAGAGGCACTAGCAGTCATGGGTTCGATCCTCCGCAGAGGACCGAAGGATGCGCACCACTGATGAGCCCCAATAGGGCGAAACGGCCGTCTGGTGCTTTTCCGGACAGCTGGTCGACATATCTGAATTGTCGGCTGATTGCGACGAACAAAAATACACTTTATCATCACCTGGCGCAGTTATTCCTGCCTCACTTCTTGATTGCTGAGAGTGATCCTATGCTCTCACCAGAAGTATTTATCCTAGACAATTGAAAACGTGAATAAGAGAGACATGCACACACTAGTGCCTGAATTCATTGTGTTATATAATCCCTATATAAAACTGGTGTATGTCAAAATGCTAGCAAAGGTCTCGTATCCTAGGACGAGATCAGCTACTGCATCACCTGTTATAAATTAATAAATGGCATATTCCTCGACATTGCGAGAAACATTTTATATGGTTTGTACAACATATTCGAACAGTGGAGAAAGATTTTCGGTTTTTTCATTGGTCCAATGGTGTGTTAGGCGTGTGATGGAATTCTAACGTACGAAACTAAGGAGTTTGTGAGTGAAAATATAAATTAAATAACAAATAAATAAACGTTTTATTGCTCGACAGCGCGAGGCACGGACCAATTGGGTGGTCTTATCAACATGTACGACGTGCTCGCATAATATAGTTAATTTTACGTGTTTTGTTCAATGATTCCCCTGTGGGTTTTGTGAGTTGATTAGCAGTTTGAAACTAGTAGAGAAATTATGAAACTGGGAACAGTAATAAATGTTTATTTCACGGAAAGTTCAAGTAAAGCAATACGGTCGTCCATGGAAGTGTCCCCAGGGGACTTGCTTC